AACCTTCGGTATAAATATGAATCGTACCTTCCACTTCCGGCTCTTCTATTTGTTTTGTTATAACTTTATATGGCTTATGGAAAATAATATCTCTGTGTTCGCTTAAAGCAGTCAGAGCGTATTGAGCGCCTCTTGCCAAAAGTGACATTTCGCCTCATCAGATCCTACACCAGGTTCTATCCAACTGTGCGGAGGGGTGTCATTGTCATTGTCATCAGTGCAACCTCCTTGTTGTAACTATCATGGCTCTGATTGGTTTGGTTTTCATAGCTCCTGTTATGTTGAGACTTCTAGTTTGTGAATAGCTATTCAGTTGTTGGGTTTGTTTTCCATACCCAGACAACTGCACTATATGTTGGCATGGATCTTATGATGACCTTATAACGGCCATGAGTAGAATTTTATTGAGACCGATGTCTCTCCCATATCGTTCTTTTTATATTCTATTCTTTAATCATTAGTTAGAGCTCTCTAGTTTGGTAATTTTTAGTAGGTACACTCAATAAACTAGGAAGTAGCTTTCTTTGTAGTCCGGTTTTTTATTTTCAAGTTTAACGGTAGACCTTTGTACTAGCACAATCCGTGTACAGCAATTTTCTCTGATTCCTGGCGGGATAGAGTAGTCCTTTCTGCAAGATCGATGTTATACATATGCCTATTAAACCTACAGTGTCCTGATATTATGCCCACTTTTACTCTAGTATTGTTCTCATTCTGTCTTAATAGATACTCGGTGTGTTTTGGAGATGGTCCTTTCACTTTCTGATCTGTCTTTGTCCTAATGAGTTATTCCACCATTCTTGAGATACCGAGAGGTATTTCACTAGTTTGTACATGCTCTTTGTGACATCATAGAAGGATTCTCAGCCTTGCAAAAGTACCCTATTACAATAATAAAAATGTTTTAAATACGTTTTAAATGGTATTTCTAATTGTGGATTTCCTATCTACTTACACAAATACTTCCAAATTAAGAAACTTTACATAAATATTGATACGAATTTTCTTTTGTAATTTAATTTGTGTTTGATATATCATGAAATAAATATCAAAATTACTACAACTCAAAAAATCCAGAGTCCAGACTTACTTAAGCCGCCATCTTGTTACCATCCTAATGTCAGTCTAGTAGTATTTAATTATTTTGAATATTTGTATGGTATGTCATCTCCTCTCCCTACTAACTCGGTGATAAATGTTGAGTCATGGGATGAAAGTATGAAGACTAGAGATAAGGAGGCGAATCGGCATATTCAAAAATACATGGCTTCTTATGGGAATTATACTTAATTTTGTCAAAATAATTAAAATAAACTTGTTTATAGCTAAATAAAGCACAGAACATACTGTTGTATTTATTTCTAAATAAGTCTTGCATGTTTTAATTGATAAATTATTTAATTTTATCTATATAAAATACAAATTAGGTATGTATGACCAAATTCGAGAAGGTTTCTTATTTCTTATGTGCTGAAATTTGATAAGTACAATTTTTTTTTTTGAATTGAACCAATATATAGTTTTAAGAGTAAAATAAAACACAGTTAACATATTTTTTATTGTTGTAATACAGGTATAAAGGGAGATTTGGGAATGTACATGGTATTACCTCATCCTTTAATTTCAGCTTTTCCCTTTTTATTTTGCTAACAGTACCATCAGTAAAAATAGTCTTATAATATTTGATAATATCTTCTAAAAAGTATAAAATAGCAACATCTATAGAAAGTGCTTTATCGGCACTAGGAACGATATATATATATATATATATGCTGCCACTGTTCTAAACGTTTAGTATCCTATAAAAACATTTACAATGACACAATTGGGGCCCAAAAAAATAATAACAGTAGCAACTCTATCTAACATTAAAAAATAAATTTTCTTTTTTAGTAAGTTTAATTTAATGCATAATTATTGTTGTTTGTAAGTCAGCATCTATGACTGTAAAAATTTATATTATAGAAACTTGTTATAAAATAAACTACACTTCGTAAGATACACATTGTGACTAGTTTACAACAAATATTATATTTAGACATGAATACATTATTTTACTTACATTAGAAGCTTTAAAAAGACATTGAATTGATTTTTATCTTGTTTTACAATTTGGAACTATGTAAATCTTACTTCGATGTTTTTTAACACTCATGCTACTTGTACTCAGGTACTTTTTTCATATTATTTTGATTCTTTTTACCAATTTTTTAAAAAAATCACTTCATTTTACATTAACGTACATAGAAAATTGACACCGCTGTCATTCGACATGCCAACTACAGTCAATTTCGCGAACTTTATAAAAAGAAGGACGGAAATTTGAAATTTGACCATTGCCGATTCGCCTCCTTCTCTCTAGTCTTCATAGATGAAAGGTAATCGACAATGACAAATGACACAAGTTTAGGGTTGCCAAACATCCGGCTAAAGCCGGACATATTCTCATTTTTTGGCAATTTGTTAATGTCCGGCCGGCTTTTCTTTATGTCCGGTTTTCCAATTTAGAAAAAAAATTTAAATAATTTCGGTTTTTTAATACTAAAAAGTGCAAAATGCAACCTGTCAACCATAAAAATCTAACCAATACCACGCGAAAACGCCTGGCGATGTAGGCGCTAAGGTTTTACTATCCGAACCAGGGGGGCTTATAACATATGCGCGTTATATCAACAGGTTAGTGCGCAACACATCCGCGCATATCAGTCCGTTTTACAATAACATAATGATATTTAAATTTAAAGTACACTGAATAATTGAATAATTCAAACATATTTCGCTTAGTAACAAAAGTAACACACGGAAAGTATTGTTTTAAAATTATATATTCGTATAAATACTACAATTATTTGAAAAAACATGAATTGATCAATTATTTGTACAATGTAAATCTGACTTTGGGATTGTCGCCCGATCGAACCGAAACAATAACAAAACAATATGGTTATGGTTGCTGAATAAAACGTGGTAAGTACTTTTACTTTTATTCAATTTTAATTAAACATGTTAAATTTAAAATTAAGCAAAGATATTTTGGTGCTTTAACATGTGTTTAGCAGGTCCTGTTCGTAATAAATTCATAATATCTAATTGTAATAGCGTTGTTTGTATAAAGGTAAATAGTACAATTTACTGACCAATTTATGCTGTAAATTTTAAGAACACATTTTTTTTATTTCCTTCCGATATTAAGCAAGGAACTAAATGATGCCGCATAAACTTCATCATTCACTTGCAAAAAACCATTGATAGGTTACAAGACTGTGCAAATTGGCTTTGCCTTTGGTACCTTTGAAAGCTAAATTAACACTAAATAGTAATTCTAAAGTAATATTGTTATAATACCGTCAAACAAATTACCAGTGAAAAGAAAGTTACATTCGATCAAAATTTCATCCAATGAAATATAATTATTACCTAAAAAACAACGATTAGATCTTGGATTTTAAATCAAACCAGTTAATAGTTAACTCCAAGGAAGAAAACACTTTATTTCATAATTAGAAAACAGCAAAGTAAAATTTGCGAATCAAAGAAGGACCTCAAGCTTGATCCCGCAGGCATCTGTTTTTTTTAAAGTACTACATCTAAATAAAAAAGATAAAGGGACTAACATTATTAATTATAAAATATTATAATGATAGTATAAAACTGTGACAATGTCTAAAAGAAAAAAAAATACAAAATGATATGAAGTTAAAATACTGCTATGAATTTTTTCTGTTTCAGATTATATGGATGGTTCTCCTTCACGTGTTTTGTTACCTACCCAAGTTTACAGAAAGTTTTAGTTGTTTTATTAAAATATTGTTTATTTAGAAAATTCATTATAAATTAGTTTTAATGATATAATAGATAATACAATTATTTAATATTACATTATTTTACCCTTTCTAAAATTATGAGTCATAAAATTTTACATTTTGTTACATCTTGCACCTTGTCTGTGTTGTAAAAAATGCCAATAAAAATGCAAAATTTTAGTTATACTAATTAAAGTAGAGCTACAAACAAACGCCCGCTAATTTTTAAATAAAATAAAATATGCAGGAATCTATATTACCAACTGAGAAATAGTTGGACAAATCCCTCCCCTGTAGCGCTGATAGCAAACATGTTGCCATATTTATACAAAGAAACGGCAACTCTTAATTATCCTTCCTCCATGGTCCGAACGTCGCGCGTCGGGAGTATCGAACGGATTTGGATTATATATACCGATCGATATCGATGTACTGATCGATATCGGTATTATATGTAGTATAATCAGTAGCGTAGCAATTATTTTTTGCTATTTTATTAGTAATAATCACTTTTTAATTGGTATAGATTCTAGAATTTATTTATGTTTTATTGTTGTGTGAGGAATAAAAGAAGCAAATGTTACAAAATTAAATCGTGCATTTTCAATAAGCAAACCTTATTTATTTATCTACCAAAATCACTTGTTTGTAATAGTTTTTAAAGCTAGCAGCATGGAACGCAGTTACTAAACTATTTGAACCATGAATAATAATATAACATAATATCTGCGATTTAAAAAAATCTCAAGGAGGCACAATTGTTGTAAGATTACTTCAGGATTCTTGATAAATATTTACATTTAATCCAACGTCGATGGAGAGGACAATAATCACTACCGCACGGTAATAGAAGAAATTAGAGATCGAAATAAAAGTACTTTTACTTTAATTAACCGATAAATAAACTTATTTCTTATCTTAATACTATATATTTGGAAAATTTGGGTGATTTGGTACAGATAATTTACACTAGGCCGTTGAAAGGTGAATTTTAGAACACCCTGTATACCTCATTAATATGATTTGTAAAAATAAAGGCCATTCATCATCAACAAACAAACAAACAATGAATGTTATTTTATCCTTTTTGTACAATTGAAGTATTTACTTAATACTTCCGACTATTACACAAAATAGCGTGTCACTTGCCACAACAAATATTATGCAAGATTAATTAATAAAGTCATTGTTAACAACATGATTGTTTTGTATTTATGTGGTAAATTCCCTCGTTACAATGTCGTTGAAAGTATCATGAAAACAGGTAATATCGCGTTTAAATTAATGTGGAAAACGGGTAATGATTTTATTAAAGCACTTTAAGTACTTCGAACATGTTTGTCACGTAATAAGTTGTAATCTATACTGACTAAACATTAGCCGACGGGATATTAATATCGTTTTTAATTATTAAATGCACATGAATATCAGTTAAAATCTAATATGTTAACAAAAGTTTGGGCGATTCGAAATTCGTCACAGCTATCAAGTAAACATAAAAGCGATATTCGTCACATACCATTTAATAGGTCGATTTTGGCAAAATGAAATTCATTATAATATTTCGATTAAATTATAACAATCATATACGTCCCGGATCGTAAAATATTTTAAATAGTCAAATAATTTTAAAAATAAGTTGACTGAGAGTGGTGTACACACTACTGGTAAAATGAAAGTGGAAAAGGTACAAAAGTGTGTAAAATAATGAATTTTTTTTGCATAATAAAGCCATCTTCAGAGCCGTTCTAAAATACGTTACAAATTAAAATTTCTCAATATTAAAGCATGATAAACGACTTACGCCATTGATACCCACATGGAGTCAATCAGATGAAACAGAATTGTTATCAAGAAATATTATAGATAAACATTTAGGGCCGGTAAAGGCACCGAATAGGTTAAGTTAAAAGTAAAACAATAATAACAGTTGTAAAAATTAGTAAAAATAATAGATGTTTCTGGTACAAAGTACAACAGGTAACAACCCAAGTAGCACCATAAAAACATTTTGGGTTTATTTCAGTTTTAAATTGGTTTTAATTTGGTAAATAAAAAGATACTGGTTTTAAAATTACCTTGTAGATATACTGCGGGCACTTAAAAGCCGTTTAGCATTTAATACTGGTTTTAAAGTATCTAATAATATTCGCTAATAAGGGCAATTAATCTTAAAAGTTTGTATGTCTTGTTGTAGTTTTAAAATGGTTTAATTTTAATTAACTTTAAAAATACTTAGTTTTATGAAGGACTTGCAGGTCGTTTGGTTTTATTATGTTCTAGATTGTGACGTTTTAGTTTTTAAGTAGTTTTAAAGAGATTCTTTATGTAACTAATAATACCTATTATTAAATCTGCTTGATCTTAGGACAATTTGGTCAGTAAATATTGCGTTTTAAAACTATTTTATTACTTTTCTTAAATGCAATTAGATAGCTATATTAAAACAAAACACTCTTAACTAAATCAATTTGGTTATCGTAAAGACTAACTGTACTTCTTGTTAGAAACAATAAAATTAAACTCATCTCCTATTTTTACGTGGCCCAAATGAATCCCGCATTTTGTATTAAGTCAACTACCTACAATAATTAGAAAAACTGAAAAAAATATATTATTATTAATCTAAAAATACACAAAATACAAACGACTGATATGACACGAAGATTTTAAAGTTAGGTTTACATTAAAACCGAGCGGCATGTATCACAGCCGCATTAAAACTAAACCGTTTAAATCACAAGCGAACCTTTCTTTTGTCTAGGGTATGTGCTGTTGGAACAGTATAAAACTCGATTAAATAAAACCCTTTGATCTTAACGTTTCCTTGTACATTAACTAAAAGGTTTTATTTTATTTCCAGCCATTTTACTTTCTCGAGATGGTGGAAGCCATGATAGATAAAAATATTAAACGGCAAGTTAACCACTTATATGCATAATTTCGATTTCTTTTTATACAGAAAAATTTAAAATAATAGATAAAATTATTTTTCTCTCTAATTTATGTTTTTCAATTTTGTTTTTTTGGATTATAAAACTTCAGAAATTTTAAGGCCCCTAAGTTTTTTAAAACCTTTTCGTTAACATTTATCGATAAAGTCAGGTGCGCAGTATATATTTCTACCCTGAAATCACTGCCTTACTTTTATTATTTTATAGTTCATGGTTAGAGCGTCACCATATTATCGACTTTAAATATAAATTGCCTTTATTTGTTAAAAGAATTATGTATATAGTTTTAAAAAACTATTTTTATATGTTAACAATAAGATAACTTATCTTTAACACGTTAAGCGCCAGAGGGTAATTTCAAAATTGTTCGTTTTGGACCAATGGCTTAGAAAGGAAGATATTATGGAAATAAATATGTAAAATATGTTTATTTTTTATTTATTGTTATTATAAGGTTTTTGGGGTTATTTTTTATCCATTGGTCCCATGGGACCAACGCGGTCCAGCAACCGCAAAATCGTTTCGCTGGACCGTTGGTCCCCCCCACTCAATCACCTGTGCTGTCGCCCGCCAATGCCAGACTGCTTTATAAATGACGTACCATCTGTACTGATAATTGGTACACAAACCTAGATTTTGCTAACAAACTTCTAGATGCCGATACACACTTACTTGGAACTGTTCGTCTAAACCGAAAAGGTTTACCTAAAAGAGTGGTAACAAAAAAGATGAAAAAAAGGAGAAGTTTACGCAGAAGAAAATAGAAGAGGAATAACAGTTTTAAATTGGAAAGATCAACGAAATGTCGTTATGTTATCCACTAAGCATTCTAACGAAAGCGTTGAAGTTAGTCATAGAAGTGGAACTAAAACAAAACCGAAAATGGTAATTGAATACAACACTGCTAAGTCATCGGTCGATTTATCAGATCAAATGGGAGCTTATAGTAACCCCTTACGTAAGACCTTAAAGTGGTACCGGAAGTTGGGCTTTGAGCTTTTATGAACCACAAGTGTTGTAAATGCACACATATTATACAAAGAAATCTCAAGAGAAAACATTTCAATTACAGATTTTAAAAAAGAAATTATTCGATGCCTAACTACCAACCAAAATGACGAGAACCTACGACGTGACATTCATAGACCACGGCTGCACGAACTAAAATCTAAAGAAGGAAAAAAAACACGACGTAAGACGTATGTGCGCTAATTGCTACAAAGAAATATCGGAAAAGAAAGCAATAAAATCCGCCTAAAATAAAACAAAAAAAGTAGTAACGTTCTGTGAACAATGCGAAGGAAAACCATTTATTTGCCTCGAATGCTTTAATAAATTACACAAAAATAACTATTAATGTTCCCTTTTAGTTTTTGTACAAAACCCCAATACATATTTAAGTTTGTTTTTGTTATTTCATTTAATTTAAAACGCTATGTTAAAATAAATAGTTTGCTCATTATGAGATGTGTTTCTTTTTTCGACCCTTTATTTAATTAGGGACCACAATTATATATATAGATGATAGATGGTGCCCAATAATGTCTTTACTTGCTACGGGACCGCGACGGTCCCTCTACATACTAAAAACGCTTAAAAGTAGAACCAACAGCCAGCTATAGACATTTAAAATTTGCATGTATCGTTAGTCCCATCGGCCCAACAGGGTCGTTTAGTTTAAAACTGTTGACGGTCCCATGGGACCGTCATGGCGCTCAACGTGTTAAAAGTATACATGTAATTAACATTATTAAGTCCACTTCAAAACCACGTGTGTCTAAAATGTATTTAAAGTGCTTTTAAAAGGGTCTTCACAGCAGCTTTAAAATCACTTGTTCAAGGTAATATAGTTTTATGGTGGTTTTTATTTTTGGTTTTATTGACATCTTACAGAGTGGGCTCTTTTATGCTGAACCCGTATTTATTACAACCTTAAGGCTCCTTTTAAAACTATTTGGTTTTATTTGCAGTTTTATTTTACAAGTTTTAAAGTATCCTTGAAGTACTGAATAAGACGTTCGGTGCTACTTGGGAAGCGTATCTAAATTTGACAATTGACAACAGACAAATAACAAAGATAGACACACAAAACAATATAAGTAGAAGGAGTGGTTCTGGAGTCAACCCCGGTTAGACCAGACTTATCATCAAAAAACTAAAAAATATATTATAAAATAGATTGGTAGAGATATACTAGGCTTCTAAGAATATGAACCATGGTTTAACTACTGATTACTATCTACAAATTAAAGAAAAACAGTATACCTTCCCTTCTGCAGTCTAGCCTCCGGTCTTCCTCAGTTTCAAAATATCGCTATCGGGAACGAACATATATACTACCTGAAAATAAAATTAAATATTTAGGGATAATAATAGATAGCCACTTGCGCTGGGACAAACATACTCAATACTTACTCAACAAATTACGTAGTGTCTTATTTAAATTCACAGAAGTATCACCAATGCTAGAATTATCACAGAAAAGAATTTTGTCTCATAGCCTGTTCGAATCTCATCTCAACTATGGAATAATTGGTTGGGATGGAGTCACTAAAACGCGTTTAAAGCCAATCGAGATTATTTAAAATTAATGCTCAACAAAAATAAAAGATATCCATGTGTATCAAGAAACCTAGATATTTGACTTAAGACAGTTATTCTATCAAACAGCACTCACCCATCAATTTCAAAATCAAGATAAACTGCATCGATCATTCACTGTTGAGATCTAATTAACAGTGCTGTTCCTAAAGTGGCGCTGGGAAACAGTAGCAAAGTCTACACAGAACACGAGGCGAAATAACCTTAGCAGTTGAAGCCGATGACACAATAAATGATACTATTTAAGCTCTCTTAAAATAACGGAGACTTACGCAAATGAGTGTTTCAGATGTAAAATAAACTGATAACCGAGAAAGCACATTATCTCTGAATGAAGTGATCGTAATCACGAGCCGCTTCAGTATTACATCTCAACATGTGCCAGTCATATATCTACCGTATCAGTGCATTTTAAAATAAGTTTCAGCTGGCAACACCGTGCAGTGAATTAGTACTAGCTAATCTTTTGTGAAGTACATAGGTTTTTAATTAGAATTGTTTAATTCTTGTTCTAAAATTTAAATTCTTTGAATCGAATCCTTTTATAACATTGAATCAAGGACGCAATAGTCGGTTTTAAGAGCATATCATACTTATAATAATATAAGAGCTTTCTTGGATTAATTCAGAATTCTATAATTTATTCTCAGATTAATTATTACAACTCTTAAAATACAAGATTATGCCTATACTTCACTCAACATTTATT